CACTACAGCTTTTTCAGAGCCCTTCCTCCAGCCTCGTTATGATTAATCAACATGTATTCTTTAATTCATAAATCAACTCGACGTTGGTAAAGGAAGACCTCGTGCTAGCCTATCAGTGAAGGAATACTACGCTTTTTCATAATGCTGAGACATTTGCAAAACTCTGGTGTCTGCAGTGGGGAACGAACGCGCTATTGTCCTTTCCGGGGAGTAGCGCGTTCACCAACACACCATGGTGGTCCTTCGTTTCGCCTGTCTCTCAGCTAGTTCTATCGATCACAGCCATCAGCAATCACCCGTCAACGGGATTGATCTGTGCGTACAACAGCCATTCTTCTGCACAAGAACTCCGCATTGCTGATGGCTGTGATCGATAGAACTAGCTGAGAGACAGGCGAAACGAAGGACCACCATGGTGTGTTGGTGAACGCGCTACTCCCCGGAAAGGAAAATAGCGCGTTCGTTCCCCATCGCAGACACCGGAGTTTTGCAAATGTCTCAGCATTATGAAAGTTATATTTCGCAACCTATCCTACCATTAAAAAGAATAGGCAGTAAGTGAAAAGGTCAAGACTACGCTTTTTGTCAAAAATAAAATAATATAACTAAGGCAATAGAATGTTTTGCTAAGTAATAGAGGTAATTCATGTAAAGCAATATTATCACAACTGTTGGTAGAAAGGTAGTATGCGTAATCTGATAGTTTCAGAGACTTGCGTCAGTCCGACACGGTCCTGCGATCTTTCTATTTATCCACTGACTGTGAATAGTATTAAAGGGGGGAAGATGAAAAGATTTTCACCTGGCCGATCGAAAACCAGAAATGGCATGCGAATCTTTTTTCTCGCTTCGTGAAACGTCCAGCTTTTCTCAAATGTCGGTATCATAAGAGAAGAGCTGACAAATTACTGTAATTCTTTTTAACGGCAATGCTTTTCTTTGTTTTATGCACTGACTCTTACTAGAATTAACGAACAAGTCCACCAAATCAGTAATACGTTTAGACCGAATAAAACTCCACATGACGTTATTCGTGACCATTTCAGTAGATACTTATAATTTCATCCAGGTTCATTTATCTCATATACAGCATTCCTATACAGTGACCTACAGTGGTCTAGTAATGCGTCAAGTCTGTGGTGCTATGCCGTCATCCGAGATAAATTTGATATCAATTTGGCGACCTTGAAATGAGATGAAAGGCTTGGTGAGCCCAGGCGCCGGATCAAGGATAACGTGTTCCGTTTATTTCAGGGCACTTGAAGTCACTACGCTGCACGCATTTTTGTATAAGCTATTATTTTTCCCAGGATCGACTTTCTCTTAACCTCGGCATTGGAATATGAATGTGTCGTTTTCTTGTTCAGCAATCGCGAGGTTTTTAAACAGCATACATTTACTTCCATAAAAACGCAATACAATACAACGCTAGCTGACTTTCGGCAGTATCGCCTTCTTCAGAGCCGCTTTTTCGTGACTTCCAATGAGGAAGTTTAGAACAGCTGATTATAGTCGCATGTGGTTGACGACGACGTTGAGTCGTCTAAACTTCCTCATTGGAAGTGACGAAAAAGCGGTGGGTTTTTCGAGAAGTTGTTGATCGTGTAATTACCAAAGAGTCTTTCGTCTTTGTGTAAGTGTTATTGAAGCGTTTGGCCTAGTAGATTGTATATCAGCATACCCTTCCAGGCTCTGAAGAAGGCGATACTGCCGAAACGTCAGCTAGCGTTGTATTGTATTGTGTTTTTATGGAAGTAAATGTATGCTGTTTAAAAAACCTCGCGATTGCTATTATTTTTATTCATAAAGTTACATGGAAAACATCATTTTAAAAGTTTTTTATTTTTCTATTTTTTTTTCACACTACAGCTGCACATATACGGGTACGGACCCTACACTTTTTGCATTCGAATCACTCCGCATTCATCATCCATGAAGGTGTTCGAAATTTTCGCGTGTGGGTTCGGCTGCTGCTTGAGGACTATCTTCTTCTTTACGAATGTCGCTGTGTGTTGGTCGAATTGCTTCTTTCTCAAGCCCCAAGATCGCTGTGCGAGAGCGTTCCAGCGTGTATTGGAGGAGTGAGCTGAACTAAGGCTGGTGCCAATTTTCTATCTTCAGAGGAATGAAAAGCTTACTGGGGCCTGAGCAGGTCGAACAAGTACAGTGCTCGTAATGAACGGCTTTGCTGCCATTGCGCTACCCATCTTCCGTTGACCCTTTCATAACCGCGGCACGTTGGCTTAGTGTAGGACTCGTTGGATCGCGTTTCATCGGAGTGCGATTGAAATGCGCATTGAATTCATGATGTACGGTCCAAAACGTATTACAGTGTGCATATCGAAATCGATGCGCTTTGTTGTGAAAGGGTGCATGTGAAAAGTGGAAACTTTGAGAAATTTAAGCTGCAAAATCTTTTTCTGCAGTAGTCTCTAAGAACTCTTTGCGCGTTCATAACGAGATTAAGCATTTGGAAAATAACAGATCAAGAGCTGTCCAACCCTCCCCTTTCTCTGATTTGTTTCGTATTCCTTTATAGACAAATCGATAGTCGCTTAACGAACTAAACTGTAAGTAGGCTCTACTTATTACCATAGTGGCGCCTCACTAGTAAAAGTTATATGTGTTCGCTATCCATTATTAACTGGCATTCTCATTTATCCGAACCATTAATTTTTTTTACTCTCTGTCACAACAATTAACCGGATCACTACGAGAACTCTTTAAAATGTCAAACTAAACAAGTCCTTTCCAGCATTTACAGTTCTTTTCCAGTTTGTGGCTGGATCGGAGTATCTTATAGACGCAGTGATCGAATCCACTAAAAGGTTACTGCACTCTGAAGGGATAATTCATTAGAAACAACTTTTTGTTTTTAAGAACGCGATCCATGCGTCTTCATTATGCAGTCTAGCGGTCCTCATGCCCCGCTACTATGTCAGCGATTCCTTTAGAGTTCCAGCACTAATTTATTTCTCGTCTGAATACATCGACATTCTTATCGGCTTGGGTGACACGTGCGTTGACCAAATTCAAAAGCGTCATAGCAGTTCGTACATTTCATTTCAAAATTTGCGAGTATCTTACTCTTGCTTGAACAGTAAACAATAAAAAAGGGTTTAAAAGGGTTAGGGTAATAAAAAAGGGTTTTGAAATATTAATGTTAATAAGCACTCAGCACTTATTCACTTGTTCTCCTGTCGTACGTCGGGTGATTTAAGGTAGCTCAAATAAAGTCTCAATTTATTTTCTACCGCTTGACAAAGCTGAGAAAGGATTCTCTAAGCAGTTCGGCCTGCCTGTGCGGTGGAAGCTTTGGTACATTTAACGAGAGCCAAGATACAACAGAGGACATAATTTTCAGATGCCACTACATCGGGTGCTTCTCAGTTAACTGAGAATATAAGAGAGATCTCTGGGCACCAGGTTGCGGAAAGCACATCGAGGCCGTGCAACACATGTTGGCTGGTTCGAACCCATTCTTGGACAAACAAACCGAACATCGATTCGAAATCGGCGAATTAGTACGGATGTTCAAGGTCTGAGAACACTTTGGCAGACTCTTTCGGATTTGCAGGAACATTCGCTTCGACCAGCATTCAACGCCATCAATGAGCGCAAAAGAAATCCTCAGATAGCTGCTGAATCCAACGTAAATCCCAAACTTTCATGGATTCAAGGCAACAAACCGAATGGAAGATTTTTTAAAATCCGCTTACCATATGAGGAAGTGTCGCATAAATAGTAGATAAAATGAACTCTGGGGATTCATAAAGACCATCAATACGGGGCACTCACTAAGTTGGTACTTGAATGGCCCGTCCTCACTGGTTGTGCGAGCTCCAGCATAATCACCACTTTTCGGAGATTTGCTGGTTAAGGCTCACGAGGTCAGCCTGGCTAAAGTCTGCCCCAGGTCTTCACCACCACAGGCAGTCGCAGCCCTTGTGGATCAGAGGGAGATTTTCCATCATATGAATTTGATACGAGGACGGTGATGGATCCTGGTATTGGTTTACTCTTAGCTAGGCTTCCTGATGGAAACGCTGGACTCCTTCTCAGTTTGGAAGAGCCTGCCGGGGAGGCAATCCCCGCTGTACATCGCAGTCCGACACCCACGAACATCTCCCAGCCACAATGAGGCGGCAAACCTTTGGGAGGATACTGGACACTAACTGGAAAAAGTTCAACAAAACAGCACATAACTGCAACAGCTGCTAAAATTAGTTGAGATAGTAGCATAGGTCTTAAATGAGTCACATACTGCAGAAAGTATTCTAATCTTCTAAGCTTGAACAAACTGCTCTTGACTTATACTGAACTTCACCAAATGAACCAGAGCATTAGAATCTCTAATACTCTCAAATGAGCCATAAGCCTTCTGATTCTCCATGAAGCATTTTCTGTTTTTTTAAAGCCCAAAAGTCGTTTAACATCCTGCTCAGTAGAACGCCATAATATCTCTGAATGCACTGCTACTTGATTCGGGGCTTTATTGCCTCAGTGAATTTCGTCGAAAAATTTGAAATCAATCCGATTTTTTCGCAAACTCGGATTTTGAACAACCTTTCCAGAGATTTACCGCTTAATTACAGATGGGAAGCGTTCCTACGAGTGGGGTTGCGATGTAAAGCAGGGACTCATCTGCATAGCATGGTCTCCCAAGCTAAGAAGGAGTCTCATGCTTTCATCCAGAAGCCTAGATAAGAGTAAAGCAATACCAATAATCACCACTGTCCTGCTAACAAACTAGTCGCGTGGTGGCCAATCGTCCTCATAAGGGCCGTCGATCGTCTGAGGTAATGACGAACTGAGAGAGGCTTTAGCCAGGCTTACTCCAGAATCAAGGGAACCACAATGGTTAAAGAAGTCTTTATTTATATGATCTTATAAACTGATCTTCTTTAGCTGATCAATTTATAAGATCATACAAATGTATCAACCATCTATGCCGAGGTTTATAGAAAGTCGGTCTTTTGTGTTAAAGAACTGTCCATAGAATGGAACTTCCATTGCGTTGGGGCCGCGCTTGGGCACACATTCGTATAGGCCTTAGAGTGAGCTGGCTTGTACCAATATGCTTTCATCTGGACAAAACTGTCAAGGTGAATATGGAATTTCGCACTTCTTACACCAAGATTTAAGTGCCTTATCTCACCACAATGAAGTTATTTGCAGACAAGCTATGAAGAAAAAAAACTTTTCATTTCAGGCATTATTCCTCGTCATCATCTTCAGCGGTGCACCTGAACTTGATGCTGAAGCACTAGAAAGAGACGCCAGTTACAGCGAAAAGGAATTTATGTCACTTTTAGCGTCCACCTACGGCTATAACAGGCTTCTGTGCGTAAACACATGATTTAAAGGTTGCCTCGCTTACAGCTACGTGTTTGATGTTTTTTAACATTTTTGGACTGCGTGTGTGGATTTAAACTAGTTTTCAAACAGGTTGTTGGCACTGCCGTACGGAGTTCTTATTGGCAGTTTTCATATTTAATCAGTTGCTTGGCCGACGCAAATTCAGTACCAGATCTGGTCCGTGGAAGCTATTCTCTGCACTTATTTAATAAATTAGAAAAAAGTTCTTCGCATATTGTTCTTTCGACGCTAAAACTCTTCTCGTCCAACTGAGTTCTAAGATTCCCTCCTAAATTTTGACGTACCATAGTGACTGTTGCTGATAAAGAAGGTACCCAGTGTTTCGATGCAGGGACACAAGATGTCCTCTTAACAATGTGTTTCCACTCCCGCTCTGTCATGAGAGAAGTTTGAAATACCATTCATTCGCTGCAATTTAGCGGATAACACAGGAACTGTTGAAGGAGATGGCCTATGAAAGATTACTCCTCTGGCCGAACTCATTGACAGAAACTGCATTAGAGTTTATCCAACTGGCAGAAGTGTGTCTATTGCCAAGTCTCTCCTCTTCTTTAAAGGGCGAGTATCATTTCGGCAGTAATGTACAGAAATGGCAGATACGCATAATCAAGGCTTAAGTCTACTTCGGTTTGATTCATATGGACGGAGTACAAATCTCTAAAAACCATTTCCTCAAAGATGGCGACCAAAAGTTAGAGAAACGGCGGCGTCCTGTTGGTTACTATAAGAAATTGTATTAATTCTGTAAAGAGGCGGGTGACACAGTGCTAGTGATCCCGTTTATCATGAGCACGGTTTTGGTTCTATCCTCCCAGGGCCCACCGGGCCTTTTACCTCCTGGGTCGAGAAATTGGTACCGAAGTTGTTCAGGCTCAACCTACTGAAATCACGCTCCAACACAGCAATTCGAGGGGTTGAGGGGTAATACACTCGACTAGAATTGAATGAAATTCATAAAGAAGACAACAATCCTTAAGCAGCAACCAACACTCACGCGTGAAGACTTCAAAAACCTTCGTGAATGACGGTTGCGAGGAAGCGAATCAAAAGAGAGAAGTGCTAGGACTTGCGCAGTTATATATAAAGATGGCCCATGTCGAAGAAAACAAAAAAAACTATATCTTTGACATCGAGATCTGCTGGAATACATGCCAACCAGGGAAGAACGAAAAGAAGTTGGCACGACGACTACATTTATCTGGAACATCGTAATCAAAGAAGTTATAGATTGCATGCTTCAGTGTAAAATTTGCAAAGCGAAGGGTTACAGAATTGTAATGCTAGTAGTTTTATTTAGGTCCTTGCAAAAATTGTATACTTTAAATTATATCTTACATACTTGATACTTGAATGGCCTGTCTTCACTGGTTGTGCGGGCCCGCTCAGTACAATCTCCACTTTTCGGAGATTTGCTGGTTAAGCCATTGTGGCTCCCTGGAATCCCATGCTCAGCCTAGCCAAAGTGTGCTCCAGGTCTTCACCACCACAGGCAGTCGCAAGCCTTATGGATCAGAGGAAGGTTTGCCACCATGTGACCTTGATACGAGGATGGTGGTGGATCCTGGTATTTGTTTACTTTTAGCCAGGCTTCCTGATGGAAACGCCGGACTCCTTCTCAGCTTTGGAGACTCTGCCGTGGGCACGAATCCCTCCGCTATACATCGCAGTTCGGCACTCAGGAACACCTCCCAGCCACGATGAGGCAGGCGGTAAATTGTTGGGAGGGTAAATTATATTACTATAGTAAATGGTAGCGATTGCAACTGAGAGAAAGTGCTAATTAATTTTTTCATAAATTTTTATATTTAAAGTATAGTCTTTTGATGTCCGAAACAAGCAATAATTGCGCGGCTAAATAAATAGCCGAAAAAAATGAGTCGTATCTGACTCATGTTCCGGCTTGTATGAAAAAATATGTTAAAATGTGGTATACATTGAACATGATCGTTGTTCTGCTCGTGTAGTATATCGTTGAAACAGTTAGGTTCAATGATTCGAAACCGAACATAAGCTGATTTATTTCCAGAGACGAAATGTGTTTTGAGGACCAACAATGCGTACAAATTAGAGACAAAGTCACATACTTCAGCGGGAGGTGAGGAAAGCTAAGATAATTATAGATAGAACCGTAAACTATAAAGGAAGGACAAAATTATATTAATAATAATAATCATAAAACAGCAGAACAAAGGGAAAGGGGTTAGCGTAGTGGTTATTGATGAAGTGGTCATTAAAAAGCAAACTGCTGGTTTCACATTCTTCCTAATGCTCTATTTCAACCCATGTGAGAACCCGTTAGCTCAGCTATCGCCAATATTGCAACGAGAGAATCGACTCAACCAAAATTTTACAGAATTTATAAAAGAAAACGAAATGTTATATCTTTTTTATTTTCTGCCTACTATAATTTCGCGGCAGGGTACTAAGCGAAATACAACCACAACGTTGCTGAGAAATTTGCAAAACTCTGGACCGCAGGTGTCTATGATAGAAATAGCTGAGAGACAGGTGAAACAAAGGGCCCGCATGCTGTGGTGGTGAACGCGTTACTCCCCGGAAAGGACAATAGGGCGTTCGTTCCCACCATAGACACCTGCGGTCCGTGGTTTCGCAAATATCTCAGCGTCATTTTCGTTTTATTTCACATGATACACTGCCGCGAAAAATTGTCTTAGGCAACAAATAAAGAATTCAAGTTGTGTATAAGGATTGTACATATTTAGCAAAGAAATATAGATTTTAATGAATGATATTTTAAAATAATGATGTTCTCTGTGATTTTGTGCTGAGATGTATTTATGCAAAAGTTGAAGACCACGCGCGAGTTGAAATCAGTTCATATCGTCTACTACATGCTAAATAATGTCTATTTGAGCACTTGAAGCACTCCTCTTCAAGGTGAGGAGAGCTAACTCGTCACAATTTCTACCGTTAATTTGTTAGCAGGCAAGACTCTCTTTTTCTGAAATATCTCGAGATCGCTATGCTACAACTTTACACTGTTGTTAAGAAGCCGCCACCTTACGAATATGATGTAGTTGTAATTCCAGATGTTGGTTTAAACTCTAATATGGGCTTCTAGATAGTGATGCTAGACTCTTTCACGGCTTGGGGGAGCCTTCTGAGGGATGAACCTCCTAGTCACCATTGCACTTTAATTTCTAGGAATACCACTCTCCCACGACAAGGCAGTAAGAAATGGATTAAATCAGATAATACTTGATACTTGATAATTGAATGGCTCGTCCTCACTGGTTGTGCTGGCTCTAACATAATCTCCACTTTTCGGAGATTTGCTGGTTAAGCCAACGTGGTTCACTGGAATCCTGAGGACAGCCTGGCCAAAGTCTGCCCCAGGTCGTCACCACGACAGGCAGTCGCAGCCTTTGTCTATCACGGAGGCTTGCCAATGTACGACCTTAATAGCAGGACGGCGGTGGATCCTGGTATTGGTTTACTTTTAGCAAGGTTTCTGATGGAAACATCGGACTCTTTCTCAGCTAGGGAGACCCAGCCATGGAGACGTATCCCCCGTCTCTACATCGCACCTCTTCAACTAGAAACACCTCCCAGCCACGATGAGGCGAGAAAGCGTTGGAAGGAAGTTAGATAATACTTGTTTGAAAATATTCCAAAGACTTGCGGAACTGTGACAAGAAAAGTTGGAATTAACGCAGCTTCGACAAGATCTGTTCAAGGTATAATTACCGTAAAACTATGATATAGAAACATATAGCATTAAACTCGCATAACAGTAGCAAACCACTTTTGAAGAATGATTCAAGTGATCATTGGCTAAGATGAAACACTGAATCATTCACACGCTCATAGATATCCATTAGTCGCTTTCAGAGCGTTCTTGGGAACAAAAATCAGATCTAGATGTTTCAGGCGAAGAGTTCTACGAGTGGCAATGAAAGAACATTTGTTAATGACGTTCGCGTACTTGAAATCTCCACAAAGTACGTCTGTGTAGGTGCCACAATATGAAAATCATGTGTCTTTATCGAATTTCGAATACTGAAACACTTCTTATTATTATTCTGAATGAAACAAGACATAGCAGAGCTTTAGAACTTGTGAGGGGTGCACTGGACACGAGTAAATGGAAGATTGACTTCGATATAGCGCCTTATGGAACGTCGAGAACAATGGCTAGTAAGTTATGACGTTGCTGTAGAATTCAAAACATATTTGAATTAAAAATATGTATGTCGCAAAAGAATACGGTACAAACCTTAAATCCAGAAACTTATTTACCTACTTACTTACTGGGATACTTGGACGGTCCGACTTCACGAGCTGTGCAGACCTCAGAACATATGCTATTTGTTCCTTTCTCTCGCAATTGTAGTCCATGGTGGTGATCTTGTTCGAGTATGGTAGCGCTTGCAAGTCTCGTATCGTGATCTGTAAAATAACTGCAGCTGCAAGTAAGTAAGTAAGTAAGTATTTACTCACTACCACAGAGGTTCTGCACAATCAAGCGATTGTAGTAGACCTATGCTCAAATGGATTCTCATTCATTTTTCCTTTCTTAAATAGGAGCGCCGTTCAAAGCCACTCCTAGCAACTTGTTGGTCTTCGAAGACTTAGAAGTCAGAAATTTAGACGAGATTTTCGCACGCGGCTCTATTTCCCGAACAAATACATCGAATACTCACGTACTCGTTCTTGGACTTGGCGGCGGCTTCGTCAGTGGCTATTTACATCAAAACTTTCCAAAGGTTTGATAATATTCCTTCTTATAATTCATCGGTAACTTATAAAGAACTTCCGAAGTTATCGATGTGATTGTGGACCAGCGAAACTGCATACCTAGCGATTTTTTCTCCTCTTCGTTACCTTTTATTGTTTGGTTTATTCATTTTGTCCTTCATTTGATTTTCTCCGCCACTTCCTACTTTTCCTTTTGTTTCGTTTTATCGTAAACACTTTCTGTAGCACCACATGCAAGTAAATGTGACTTTGACATGTAGATCTGATTGCACTTCATACTACGATTACTGTTTTGAAAGTATTTGACAATCGAGTTCGACAATTCCCGACTGGAGGACTCCTTCTAAAAATTTGAAACCATGCAAAGATTCACTCGAATTTGCATCTGCTTGGGAATTTCCTGTTTCCTTCTTCCTTCTTCCTTCTTTTCTTCCTCAATTTATCTTATAACCAACGAATTGGTACTAACAATTAGATTTCCATTTCCTAAAAACCAGAAAATGATGGATCGAATTCAGATGAGAATCACCGCTGTTGAGATAAGCCCAGCCACCGTCAATATGGCAAAGAAGTGGTTCTCTCTAGAGACCGATGACCGCTATCAAGTCGTAGTTGACGATGGTGTTCAATATCTGAGGCGATCTGTTGAAGAAGGTATTTATTTGATCACTAATAAAATGAAGTTCGTAGATTTCCCCGTCTCATTTTTTTTCTATTCTTGTTGAAAACTATGCACAACAATTTTTATAAGTGAAATCACAGAAAAACATAAAATAATAGGAAAGTGGAGATTGAGCTGATACCGGTGAAGCAAAACGAACTTGGAAAAATGAATGGCAGTTTAAGAATATCACTTGTCACCAACCTCGTGTCTGGTTGTTGAAGAAAAACAGAGAGTTTAAGAATATCATCTTCACACACTACTAGTGGGCTGTGATTTCTGTTATGGTCACTGCGACCACAATGGCGCTGAGATGTTTACAAAACTTTGGGCCTCAGGTATGCGTGTTGAGGAACGAACGCGCTGCTATCCTTTCAACACTCCAGATCAATCCCGTTGGCGGGTGATTGCTGATGGCACTCGTAGACAGAAAACTAGCTTAGAGAAAGGCGAAACGAAGGACATGCATGGTGGTGTGGTGAACGCATTAGCCTCCGTAAGCGGTGGTATCGCGTTTGGTCCCCACCGCAAACACTAGCACTCAGGAGTTTTGCAAATATATCAGCACCATTGTGGTTACAAAAAAGGATAAAGCATGCAAAAGAGAACAAATGAGAAGGGAAAGAATTGTGGTTGTATCACACATAATACCTTGCTGTGAAAACTTGTAATAGGCAATATGTAAAAAAGTTAACAATATGTCATTACTATTCTGGCAGGAACATCGCTTTTTCCTCTTTTGGGAAACCCACAGACATCATAGGTGTTGTTTGATTTTTGAGGATCACCACAACTTCGTAATTTGTTCAGGACAACAATTTGATGCGATCATACTCGATGCTTGTTATCTGCAGCTTGAAGCCGACATCATTTGTCCAGACGAGGTGTTCCATTCCGAAGAGACCATCAAAAATATGGCAACATTGCTAGGCCAACGAGGTTCGTTCATCTAATGTAATGGATGCGAATGAGGATGAGCGAATAGCAAACGCTGGAGTTATGAACCGTTTATACCGTATCACCCACTTAATTACCTGTATGTTTGAGGACAATTAGAAGAATACTTCTATGTCAGGTTACTAGAGCTCGACCATCTGATGAAATGCAAAACATCCGTAAAGTCTTAGTTATATTTATGAAGGAACACCACATCGAAAATTTTTGTTAAAATGAAGGTGTTTTTAGGTGTTCTAGTCGTCAACTTCCTATCTCGTTCAAAAATGCTGAAAGATAAGGTAACTTAACTTGCCTATTCACTACTTTCTAAGGTGAACACTGGAGATATTTGATATAGATGGGTCACAATAAAATTTAGTTATGGTTATATGCTGCAGTTTGAAAATCCTATTATGATTCGCTGTTTTATTGATGAGCATACACGAAGTTGTTACCTTATTCTTTATTCACAAAGAGACTGACGTTCCAGCGGAGTTCGCCTTCTTCAGCGCATGGAAAGATAAAGACGACTTTAATCTGGTCAACCAAACACCTCCATAACCCTAGAAGAAAAATCATGAGATAGAACAAAAATCACTAAAATACGACGTTGGAACTCAAAATATAAAAAATATAGCTTTTCGCATATTTGTCGCTGTCTATGATTATTCCACTGAGCGTTTAATGTGTAGACCAACCGTGGAGCTGACGTGGATAAGTAATGTGCGTCCTATCCGAGAACGGCTTCTCCGCGAAGTGGTACTGGTCAAGTAATAAAAATTAACTAGTTCATTACCTCTTCTCTCACCGTTCACACACAAAAGGGCGTTTCTAAAAAGTGTTTCGAACAGCCGCCAAGGTGTGCACAGGAAGAGAAGAAAAGGAAGAATCCATGAAGTTGGGGCGACAAATAGCCATTCGAATGTCTACGAAACTGTAGATCCTTGGGGTAGCTGGAAAGCAAAAACCATACCTCAAGCGGTAATCCAAGCGAGAGTAAAGTCTCGTTAAACATACCCTCTATTTCCAAGTAAATAAAGGCAACTATAAAGTGGCTGAAAAGCGCTGGTCTAGAGAATTCGGTAGTAATGATTGGAATGCCACCTAAAACTCGCAGAAGCAAGCTAGTTCCTAACCACCTATATGACAGTTAATGCCCAACGCAAAACTGCATAATATACTCCAACCGTGGAGAAGGGCTACTTTGTCTCCAATCCGAGTGGAATTTAGGTTTTGTGATTTTTCTGTTAGTTATGGGTGTGGTCGGCTGACTAGGTTGCAATCAACATCGTCTTTTCGGGTGCTGAAAAAGGCGAAGTCCTCCGAAACGCCAGCTTTTTAGTGAATAAAGATTAAAGCAACAACCCCGTGTGTGCTTATCAAGAAAACAGTAAATTATTGACCAATGGTTACGTTAATAGAAAGTCGGTGGTATAAACTTCTGTAAAAATTAACATTGTTTTATAAATATACAAAGGATAAAGGATAAAGGTCTCGGCGTTGATCAATCCCTGAGGGATGCGCCATGCATTCCACTTCATTAAGTATCGTTAGAGGTGATTGAATCCATATCTGGCCTTTACAATGGCTCGCGGTGGGCTACCGATGTATCGAGCCACTGCTGCTGTCCTCCCAGGCTAGTCCGGTACCAGTTTGCCGACACTGGAAGAATGGAAAGCTTGGCGGACAATGGGCGCGTGGATCGATTCCGCGTGTGTGTCACCCCTCCAACAACTGCGCCACAAGCGCCCTTATAAATATATATTATGTAACAATTTGAAACATATATAATATCTTATGTTCGTATAAATGAATGTGAATATTTAGATTCTTGCAAAGTTCCACAATTACTTCAAGCACGACAAGGAAGTAAACATAAGGCCATATCGCAATTACGTGAGTTTATTAATTGTGAGGATTAATATTTTATAGAGCTTTTTCCAGCTCTAATTGGGTGGTGTCATGTGTAACTCACAGTTAAGTTTTCCTTCTGCATTTTTAAAGCAAGCCACTTCTATCAAAATGATTGTATTCGCACTGCACATTTGATTTTCGACCGTTGGTCCAGGTTGGAACTTTCGGATCCCATCTCTTGCTTGTGTGGAATGGGATACTCCTAGCATCGTCCTTTCGACTGTGTATTCGATAACGCTGAGTGATCTTTCATCCCGCTTACGCAGCGACCAAGTTTCTGACGCATACGTTAGAGCTGGAAGTACCGTCAAGTCGAAAAGGTGGGAACGGAGTCGGATGTTCTTTGTTCACTTCACTACACCCTCGACGCTCTCGAAAGATCTCCAAGCCGCTCGTTTACTTCTGCTCAGCTCTGGAGCTAAGTCGCTCGTCATATTGATTTCCCAACCTAGATAGATATAACTGGAGCATTCCGTGGTATTCGTTCCGATGAGCGTGAATGGCGCATACGAAACCAATCCGTTCCTCATGAACATCGTTTTTGTGAGATTTGGTCGATGACCAATTTTTTCACAAGCTCTATCGAACTCGTCAAGCATACGTTCCGCTTGGCAAATGTTTGGTGTTAAAAGGACGATGTTATCACCAAAGCCAAGATAGTGTAACTGCCGACCATCGATTTTCACTTCCATATTATCCCATTTCAATGTTCGTATGACGTTCTTGAAGGTGGCGGTAAATAATTTTGGCAAGATGGTATCGCCTTGCCTAACTCCTCTTTCGACGTCAATGATAATATCGTCGTGGAATGGTGATATCTTGATTGTGAAATCTTTGTACAGCTCACGAAGTATCTTTATGTACTGAGTAGGGCTCGTTGACTATCAAGGGCTTCCATGACTGCTATCTCAACTGAATCAAATGTCTTTTGTAAATCGATGAAAGTGAGACGGAGCGGTCTCTTGTACTCTCGCGATACTTCAATGAGCCGTTCTACTGTGTGGTTGTGGTCCATCGTACTAAATCCTCTTCGAAACCCTGTTTGCTTACATGGCTGTCCTTCGTCCAGTGTTCTGTCAATTCTGTTTAGGATGACTCGAGTGGAAAGTTTGAAGACGACAGACAGCAAGCAGATTGGGCGATAGCTGCCGATATCGTGTAGGTCACCCTTCTTGAACAATAACATGGTCCTGCTGATCTTCAACTGAGTAGGAACCTTGCATTAACTGGGTCCAATGCCGATTTGGGCTCCCCAGGTCAATCCCGTTGACAGGTGATTGCTGTTGGCGAAGGATCGATAGAACTAGCTGAGAGACAGGCGAAACGAAGGACCCGCATGGTGTGGTGGTGAACGCGTTACTCCCCGGAAAGGACAATAGCGCGTTCGTTCCCCACCGCAGACACCTGCGGTCCGGAGTTTGGAAATTATCTCAGCATTATAGAAGTTTTGCCCTTGATGCTCTTGAAGGCTCGCCAAGCCGCGCGTTTCCTTCTGCTCAACTCTGTGGCTAAGTCGACCATCGTGCTGATTTACCGACTTAGATAAACATAACTGGAACACTAGGAGAGATCCGTTCCATTGAACGTCAATGGGGCATGTGAAATCAATCCGTTCTTCATAACCAACGTTTTTGTAAGGTTTAGTCGAAGACCAATCCTTCCACCGGCATTATCGAAGGCGGGAAGCATTCGTTCTGTTTGGCTAATATTTAATATTATAAGAAGGATGGCATCAGCAAAGCGAAGATGATGTAACTGCCGACCATCGATTTTCACTCCCTTGTTGTCCCATTCCAATGTTCGCATGACGTTCTCGAGTGTGGCGGTAGCCTCTCTTTTGGCGTCGATGTAAACATCGTTGTAGAATGGCGACATCTTAGTTGTGACATTTTTATACAACCCACGAAGATTCTTTATATACTAAGTAGGGACTCCCTGAGTATCAAGAGCTTCCATGACTACTTCTATCTCATTTGAGCCAATGTCTCTTTAAATCGATGAAAGTACAACAGAGCGGTCTTTTGCACTCTCGAGATACTTCAATGAGCCGTGCTACCTTGTGGTTGTGGTCCATCGTACTAAATCCTTTTCGAAACCCTGCTTGCTCACATGGCTGTCCTTCGTCCAGTGTTCTGCCAATCCTGTTTAGAATGACTCGAGTGGAAAGTTTGAAGACGTCAGACAGCAAGCACATTGGGCGATAGTTGCCGATGTCGTGTAGGTCGCCCTTCTTGAACAATAACACGGTTTTGCTGGTCTTCCACTTACTAGGTACCTGCATTCAGGCACGTAACGTGTGTACAGCCGAGCCGGTGTCTTTACGAAGGCTAGCAGAAGGTTCGTCAGGTGCTCAGATCTTATGCTGTCAGCACCTGGTGCTGCTCGATTTTTTACCGATGAAATAACATGTCGGATTTTAGAAGGGAGAAGAGGTGGTGCGGCATATCCATCGTCCTTCATTTCGTATGAGTGAAGGAGGGTTTGGCTATTGAAGAGTTCGATTCGATTCGCCTATCTCGCTCTAGGATGCAGTTCGATGTTTTCACTCTTCTTTATGTCTTTAGGTCGAGGTCTAAAATAATGCGGAAACTTTTTATGCTTTTTAACTCGGTGCCTGAACCTTTTTTAGTGACGTAAAGCTGATGATTCGTACTAACTTCTTAACCTACATTGTGTAAACAGATACAAACACGTAGAAACAAACAGGTATTAACACGGTCTCGAAATAAAAGCAAAAAACTAAGTGCCCACAACGGCATTTCGTGTTTATAATAAATCTCGAGACTATTATGAGCTAATGGACGAGAAATAAAATAAGCGTCGTGATGGAGCTAATAGTACCATCGATGATTCCTTGAACTGGGATCGGCTTCCTATTAACCTCGGCATTGGATTGTGAATTCGTCGTTTTCTCTCTCCGCAGTCGCGAGGTTGTTGAACAGCATATGTTTACTTCCATACAACAACACGCATACGACACAATCGCAGCTGACGTTTCGCGAGAATCGCCTTCTTCAGAGCCTGGAAGGGTACAGCGATTAATTTAGAATTTACTAAGAGCCGCTGATCAGCGTCGCATATGGGTCACTACTGCACCTCCCCA